GTCTGACAGACCCCGAGACAGCGACAGCGACCACCTCTGGTGTCCAGCCTCAGGGGTCCGGCCTAACACGACCGCTGACAGTTATATTCTCCATCAGGCCGACTCTGGCAGATTGTTGTCACTACCGCTGACATTGCGTGGACACGTGGCCCACACTAGACACCCGCTGCTGTCCTCGACTGGTGGTATTTTGCCACATAGCCCGTGTGAGACCACCTCTTCCGCAGAGGATCGCTTTCATGTAGCTGCATAGGCCACGTCAGACTAGCTCTGTTGTTGACATGACGGTCACATTAATCCAACAAGAGAATAGTGAACACCGCACTGTATTGCGTTAGTTGATTCACACGGTAGCTTGCAGCCAAAGCTTGTTTTTCCAGACCAGAGGCTTAGTTCCAATTCATTAGCCTAAAATGAGTCATAAAACCAAAGCTTGTCATCTAAAAAGGATCCTCCAGCATAATCTTCAAGCCACTTTCTTATTTTTATGTCGCTGTTTCCCACCACACCGCGCGCTCCCTCGTGTCCTGTGCTGCGCCGCCCTGGCCGCTGCCACCGCAGTGCCACGCACCGCTGACGCCGCCTCTGCCGCCCCTAGTGCGGCGTTACGGCGCTGACCTGGGGCCACAACGACCGGCGCCTGTTCGTGGCCACGGGCCCTGTGGTGCACGTGGCGTGGATCGGACGCCGCGTGGCGCCTCTGCAGCTGCTCTGCCGGCTGCGCATCAAGGACGCGCTGGCGGCGGAGGAGGCGGCCGGCCGGCTGCCGCTGCCGCGCCGCGTCCGCCTGCAGATGGCCAGCCTCTTCAGCTCCACATTGCGGGTCAGTGGAGACTGAGTGGACGCCGCGCGCCGCCATCTTAGGTCCCGCGGGTGCCGGGCCGCCGGCGTCTACACGCCGCTGGAGCGGGCGACGCCGACTCCCTCCGGACATGACTGCCGAAGCTGGAGGGCGGAATTTCATCATCGTCTGATATCTTGTGAGCGGCGAAAGCACGCCCAAAGCTCGCTGCTGCAGATCGCTATTTAGGACGGGAGCGGACGACACGGGGTACAGGCAGCCGCAGTTCCCTGATGACTCCGTAGACCGCTGAGTCCTAAGACTTATAGCCTGAGGGACTCAAGGTAATGCTCTACTCATACAGTTTTTGGGGCGGTGGTTTCTTCTCCTTGTATTACCTCGGGTACTCCCACAGCCTTCCTGTATGTGTGACACCATATTCCCATAGTCTCGCGGTCAGAATAATGTCCTGCTCCAACAGCCCCCAGGTTGGCGTGATACTCTCCCTCTGGTCAGTCGCAGTCCACAGGCCAGTCGAATGTCTTCATGCCACGCCCCTAACTCACTATTAGTTCTCTCCTACAGGTTTTGTGTTCACAAGGCCGCCGCATGGGATGGCAGTTCGGTCACTACGTGGGACGCCTGCTAAGTCTAAACCAGGCGCGTCATCGGCCGGGATTCGAGTTTGCATTATCTGCAGCAAGGCTTCACGTCCGAGTGCCGACTTTGTGGGTCGGTCTTTCACAGCCCTGGGAGTGGAGTTCTGCTGTTGGGTCATGAAACAATGTGCCCTGCAACACATACGGTGGCAGCCGCGGCGCTCGCTTAGGATTTATGACAGGTGCTATGTCATGATCAAGCTACGGTTCAAACATGACATAGTGCCAATGTGTATAGCACCACGTAGCCAGATGTACCATGTGTATAACATACGCATAGTACATGATTCTGTATAGCTCCGCAAAACGTATAATCATGTGTATTATGGAGCCTGGTATAACCCGCACAGCAATGTGTAGTGCGCATTTGTTTGGTATTGACCGGACTCTGCGCTAAATGTGCACCTGAGTAATGCCGTCTATCCGGCAGTTGCTCTCACTGGCTGTATCGCCATGGACTGAGCCCTGCGCTAAATGTGCACCTGAGTAATGCCGTTTATCCGGCAGTTGCTCTCACTGGCTGTATCGCCATGGACTGAGCCCTGCGCTAAATGTGCACCTGAGTAATGCCGTTTATCCGGCAGTTGCTCTCACTGGCTGTACCGCCATGGACGATCGCATGACGGGCTCTTCCGGCGCTGCTAATGCAGCCATTAGTCGGTGAAACATGTGGATTTGTACAACAATCACTAGTTCCCTCCATTTCATTAAAAAATGTTAAAGTATTGTTAACATAGTAGTATTAGCCTTATTCCTCGGAAAAAAATAGGGGAATGGAGATATAGTTAGGTTGATATTTCGGCAACATGCCTCCCCGAAACAGTAGCAGAAGTGAATTCAGAATTGCCTGCCGATAATCCCAAGCCCCGCATTACTGCATTCTGGGTAGTGATGTTGTGACGTCATCCTGGGACTAAGTCATATGGCATCAGTGCTACGGCCGCGTGAAAACGCTGTTTTTGCAGGCTGGGTTTAACATATATATATATATATATATATATATATATATATATATATATATATATATATATATATGTTCCGTAAACCGAATTTTTTAAAA